ATCACAGCTGTCTGTCCACCATGCGGGTTATCACAGATGCCTGTCCACCATGCGGGTTATCACAGATGCCTGTCCATCAAGCGGGTTATCTCAATGCCTGTCCATCAAGCGGGTTATCTCAATGTCTGTCCACCATGCGGGTTATCACAGCTGTCTGTCCACCATGCGGGTTATCACAGATGTCTGTCCACCATGCGGGTTATCTCAATGTCTGTCCACCATGCGGGTTATCACAGATGTCTGTCCACCATGCGGGTTATCTCAATGTCTGTCCACCATGCGGGTTATCTCAATGCCTGTCCATCAAGCGGGTTATCTCAATGTCTGTCCGTCGTGCGAGTTATCACAGCTGTCTGTCCACCATGCGGGTTATCACAGCTGTCTGTCCACCATGCGGGTTATCACAGCTGTCTGTCCATCAAGCGGGTTATCTCAATGTCTGTCCACCATGCGGGTTATCTCAATGTCCGTCCACCATGCCGGGTTATCACAGATGTCTGTCCACCATGCTGATTATCTCAATGTCTGTCCGTTGTGCGAGTTATCACAGCTGTCTGTCCACCATGCGGGTTATCACAGATGCCTGTCCACCATGCGGGTTATCACAGATGCCTGTCCATCAAGCGGGTTATCTCAATGCCTGTCCATCAAGCGGGTTATCTCAATGTCTGTCCACCATGCGGGTTATCACAGCTGTCTGTCCACCATGCGGGTTATCACAGATGCCTGTCCATCAAGCGGGTTATCTCAATGTCTGTCCACCATGCGGGTTATCACAGATGTCTGTCCACCATGCGGGTTATCACAGATGCCTGTCCATCAAGCGGGTTATCTCAATGTCTGTCCACCATGCGGGTTATCACAGATGTCTGTCCACCATGCGGGTTATCTCAATGTCTGTCCATCAAGCGGGTTATCTCAATGTCTGTCCACCATGCGGGTTATCTCAATGTCTGTCCACCATGCGGGTTATCTCAATGTCTGTCCACAGTGCGGGTTATCTCAATGTATGTCCGTCGTGCGAGTTATCACAGCTGTCTGTCCACCATGCGGGTTATCACAGCTGTCTGTCCACCATGCGGGTTATCTCAATGTCTGTCCACAGTGCGGGTTATCTCAATGTCTGTCCACCATGCGGGTTATCTCAATGTCTGTCCACCATGCGGGTTATCTCAATGTCTGTCCACCATGCGGGTTATCTCAATGTCTGTCCACAGTGCGGGTTATCTCAATGTCTGTCCACCATGCGGGTTATCTCAATGTCTGTCCACCATGCGGGTTATCTCAATGTCTGTCCACCATGCGGGTTATCTCAATGTCTGTCCACCATGCTGGTTATCACAGCTGTCTGTCCACCATGCGGGTTATCACAGCTGTCTGTCCACCATGCGGGTTATCTCAATGTCTGTCCACCATGCGGGTTATCACAGCTGTCTGTCCACCATGCGGGTTATCTCAATGTCTGTCCACCATGCGGGTTATCACAGCTGTCTGTCCACCATGCGGGTTATCACAGCTGTCTGTCCACCATGCGGGTTATCTCAATGTCTGTCCACCATGCGGGTTATCACAGCTGTCTGTCCACCATGCGGGTTATCTCAATGTCTGTCCACCATGCGGGTTATCTCAATGTCTGTCCACAGTGCGGGTTATCTCAATGTCTGTCCACCATGCGGGTTATCTCAATGTCTGTCCACCATGCGGGTTATCTCAATGTCTGTCCACCATGCGGGTTATCACAGCTGTCTGTCCACCATGCGGGTTATCTCAATGTCTGTCCACCATGCGGGTTATCTCAATGTCTGTCCACCATGCGGGTTATCACAGCTGTCTGTCCACCATGCTGGTTATCACAGCTGTCTGTCCACCATGCGGGTTATCACAGCTGTCTGTCCACCAAGCGGGTTATCTCAATGTCTGTCCACCATGCGGGTCACTCAATGTCTGTCCACCATGCGGGTTATCTCAATGTCTGTCCACCATGCGGGTTATCTCAATGTCTGTCCACCATGCGGGTTATCTCAATGTCTGTCCACCATGCGGGTTATCTCAATGTCTGTCCACCATGCGGGTTATCACAGCTGTCTGTCCACCATGCGGGTTATCACAGCTGTCTGTCCACCAAGCGGGTTATCTCAATGTCTGTCCACCATGCGGGTCACTCAATGTCTGTCCACCATGCGGGTTATCTCAATGTCTGTCCACCATGCGGGTTATCTCAATGTCTGTCCACCATGCGGGTTATCACAGCTGTCTGTCCACCATGCGGGTTATCACAGCTGTCTGTCCACCATGCGGGTTATCTCAATGTCTGTCCATCAAGCGGGTTATCTCAATGTCTGTCCACAGTGCGGGTTATCTCAATGTCTGTCCACAGTGCGGGTTATCTCAATGTCTGTCCACCATGCGGGTTATCTCAATGTCTGTCCACCATGCGGGTTATCACAGCTGTCTGTCCATCAAGCGGGTTATCTCAATGTCTGTCCACAGTGCGGGTTATCTCAATGTCTGTCCACCATGCGGGTTATCTCAATGTCTGTCCACCATGCGGGTTATCTCAATGTCTGTCCACCATGCTGGTTATCTCAATGTCTGTCCACAGTGCGGGTTATCTCAATGTCTGTCCACCATGCGGGTTATCTCAATGTCTGTCCACCATGCGGGTTATCTCAATGTCTGTCCACCATGCGGGTTATCTCAATGTCTGTCCACCATGCGGGTTATCTCAATGTCTGTCCACCATGCGGGTTATCTCAATGTCTGTCCACCATGCGGGTTATCTCAATGTCTGTCCACCATGCGGGTTATCTCAATGTCTGTCCACCATGCGGGTTATCTCAATGTCTGTCCACCATGCGGGTTATCTCAATGTCTGTCCACCATGCGGGTTATCTCAATGTCTGTCCGTCGTGCGGGTTATCTCAATGTCTGTCCACCATGCCGGGTTCTCACACCCGCGCTGTTGCATTATTACAGTCGCCTCTGAGCCTACAGGTCTATCACATCTTCTGTTAACAAAGTTGACTTACACTGCAATATTTATTTATTTAGGGTCATGTGTGTCGGGTGCAGATTTCTCAGGAAAATGAAGTCTTGATACCAGCTCACCTCCCAGAGTCCCGGGGGAGGTCTAGCAAGCATAGTAGTGAATGAATATTAAAACCTCTCCAAACAATTTGCTGCCACCGGCTCGTAGCTCCTAGAGCGGGTTCCTCTTGCCGCTAATATGTCGCTGTGTGGCTTATTGCCTGTTTTCCCTTGGAGATATACGATAAGTTATAGCTTTGCTCTACAGAAGATACATCTGCACTAATTAATGTTCGGACCTATACCTCGGGTCGTATAGTGCCATTTAGGATAATCAACGTGTTCCGGATTGGTGGCGAGCTGCTGTCCTTCTGGTGGTGTGTTGATGAAAGCTGGCAATGTCATTAAGAATGTGCTGGCAGTATTTGATAGAGAAATACCGAACTCCATAGAGACTATTTCGAGATAAGCCGTTACAGTATTATTCTGAGAGCACAACAGTTTTGATCAGGATTTGAAAATTGTATCTGATAAATAGGGACGGGAATGTCGCTCTTGTTACGTCGAGGGAGGCATAGCGGAATGTGGGCCGATGTTTGATTGTGATGCTGGTGTCCGAGGTTGACTTATGTTTATAGTGGGATGGTCGAGGTGGTGTTCATAGCGGGATTGTCGAGGCTGTGTTTATAGTGGGATTTTCGAAGTGGTGTTCATAGTGGCATTGTCGAAGTTGTGTTCATAGTGGCATTGTCGAGGTGGTGTTCATAGTGGCATTGTAGACGTGGTGTTCATGGTGGGGTTGTCGAGGCTGTATCCACAGTGGGATTGTAAACGTGGTGTTCGTGGTGGAATTGTCGAGGTGGTGTTCATGGTGGGATTGTAGACGTGGTGTTCATGGTGGGATGGTCGAAATGGTGTTCATAGTGTGATTCTAGACGTGGTGTTCATGGTAGGTTTGGCGAGGTGGTGTTCATAGTAGGTTTGTCGAGGTGGTGTTCATAGTGGGATTGTCGAGGTGGTGTTCATAGTGGGATTGTCGAGGTGGTGTTCATAGTGGGATTGTCGAGGTGGTGTTCATAGCGGGATTGTCGAGGTGGTGTTCATAGTGGGATTGTCGAGGTGGTGTTCATAGCGGGATTGTCGAGGTGGTGTTCATAGCGGGATTGTCGAGGCTGTGTTTATAGTGGGATGGTCGAAGTGGTGTTCATAGTGGCATTGTCGAGGTTGTGTTCATAGCGGGATTGTCGAGGCTGTGTTTATAGTGGGATTTTCGAAGTGGTGTTCATGGTGGCATTGTCGAAGAGGTGTTCAAAGTGGGATTGTCAAAGTGGTGTTCATAGTGGCATTGTCGAGGTGGTGTTCATAGTGGCATTGTAGAAGTGGTGTTCATGGTGGGGTTGTCGAGGCTGTATCCACAGTGGGATTGTAAACGTGGTGTTCGTGGTGGCATTGTAGACGTGGTGTTCATGGTGGGATGGTCGAAATGGTTTTCATAGTGTGATTCTAGACGTGGTGTTCATGGTGGGTTTGGCGAGGTGGTGTTCATAGTGGGATTATAGACGTGGCGTTCACGGTAGAAATGTCAAGGTGATGTTCCTCGTAAAATGTCGAGTTGGTGTCCACAGTAGAAGTGTGGCAACGGTGTCCGAGGGACGGGTATCGAGATGATGTCCGCGTGTGTGCGTGTATTTGTTGTGTGTGGATGTAAAAACGCGGGGTGTCCAATGTGTGTTTTTTTGCGGGTGTGTCTAAGATGTTTTTTAGCGGCGGTGTTCAAGGTATTATTGTCGTGCAGGGTGTTTTGTGGCGACTGCGTCTATGGTTTAAATATCGTTGTGATATCCAGATTGTTTAGTTGCGACATTATTGATGTAGAGACGCCTACCACGAGACTGACGTAAAGATGAAGGGAATTGTTGTGTTTAGATTAATCCTTTAGTTATGTATGCTATACTACCTTATTTCTCTTCCAGGAACATTTTTCTGCCTGAACATGACGCTGATCACGCTGTCGACGGTGCTGTCATGTATGGTGGCCAACATGTTTTTCAGAGGAGTCAGGATCAACCGAGCTCCGCGATGGCTCCGAGTGGTCAGTATCAAGAAGGCTTGTTGTAGAATGAGAGTGAGTGAATGAGTGAGTGATTGCACGCCGCTTTTAGCAATAGTCCAGCAGAATCACGGCGAGGTACACCAGAAATGGACTTCACAAATTTTACCCATGTCGGGAATTGAACCCGGGTCTTCGGAGTGACGAGCGAACGCTTTAACCATAAGGCTACCGACCGCTCCTGTAGAATGAGACTAGTAGTGTCACGTACAATAACCAGGGAGACAGATAAAATCTCAAATCAGTTACAGGGAGTGGTTGTTTGCTCAAATGATCCTAATCTGATCCGGCATCATGGTGTTTGAATGTCTTAAACTCCTATAGTTGCAATATAAGATAGTGTCCGTTTACTATTGAGACTGACGCTATGTCTCGTTGTGTTTATCTGTCATTCATAAGCATTTAGTACGGCCAGAAACTCCATCGCTTCTTTAACTGAAATCGCTTTAACTGAAATCATTCACTCGTCTCCAGGAACACACAGCTAGCCCGAGGTCCTAGCAATACTAACTGACTTTTTAGACTAATCCTTGTACATGATTTACGAGATCCAGAGGAGTTTCTCACCATGTTAATTGGACATGCCGACACCCTTCCATAAATGAATTGGGTAGCACTGGAGTGTCTTGCTAAATATATACTGCCTTTCGCTACATGTTTGAAGAAATCTTGCTAGCGTCGCTAGAAAATGGTAATTTATGTCTGCTGCGGGCTCAGTGTCTTGTGTTGCGCAAATCAAACTAGGATTACCAGAACAGACAACGTCATCGTGCATACATACAGATACCACTGAGGTTATACGCGTACTCTAGTAGCGAGACCAGATGTCAAATAATACACACATAAATGTTCATAGCTTAATCATTTATAATCTACCAGACGTGGTTGTACAGTGTATTGTCTGTTTGCCATTTAACAAACATTCTCCTAGATTATATAGGTTTCAAGGAGCTATGCACTGTTTGGGAATGGTCCTGGCATCGCATTGCTTTCAGCTTTCAAAGATGAAGGTCCAAGTGAGCTTATAGAAGACACGTTGTCTGTCCGTCGTGTGTTATTAACGTCCGTCGTCTTCTCCGAACTGGCTGAAGAGAATGACCTGACATGTTGGGGGCATGCATCGCCACGTAATAGGAATCTATGGAATCTTAGAATTGCTGCGTTGTGTCCCTGACCGAACCAGTAACAAATGACATAATTATGTCGATATCGCGACAATGTGACAACGCGACATGTTAGCCAATTGTCCGATATCGTATGGTCGTGTTGAATAACAATTTAGAGGTTAATTAAGCTGCAATTTTAGTATGATTTGTAGCAATCCATGGCGACTTAGGCCTGTTGATGCCAAGTTAAATGAACAAAAACCGCACTTTTTTCGATTTTTTTGGTTTGAAATGAAATCCAAGCATCGAGATGATGTGTAGATTATGATGATGATAAGGCGTCTGAAAATTTGACATTGATTTTGCCAATATAGCTTAAAGGGACAGCGGGTAGCCTAGTGGTTAAAGTGTTCGCTCGTCACGCCGAAGACCCCGGTTCGATTCCCCATATTGATACAAAGTGTGAAGCCCATTTATGGTGTCCCCGCGCCGTGATATTACTGGAATATTTCTACAAGTGGCGTAAAACCATACTCACTCACTCACTAGTTTATCAAATGTGTTGATACCTTTTTTGGATGTTTGTTCTCATTGCATTGTTCATTGTTGTGAAGAGAATGATATATTTAACACACTCTTGTCACTCACCAACAGACCACGCTACACCAACATTTAAAATAAAGCCCTCTTAACAGCCACATTTTCCAGATTGCATATGACATTCAGTTCAATCATAATGTACATGGAGAACAATGGTGTCTTCGTGCCCCGTATTAACATAGGACAGAGTAGGAGAGGGCTTTCTATTGTGTAAGTACAAAACATGACAATATTGAAATAAGCGAAGTCTGCCATAACAATTGTTAAAACTTCCCTCACTTCTTAAATTATGCAGATGCTATGGGCACATTGGGGCCCTTATCTTGTCCTTTCCGTTTTAATAAGTTCTGGTTGCGTAGCAACGTACTCTCAAGGATAACTGAATCCTATATGCATGATGTTACTTTTATTTTACGTGTACTAAAACCACTGACTAGCTTATTCGCATACACCCAATGATAACATATATTTTCGTTTTCTTTCCCGTGGAAATCCTGGTTATAAAATTCCCCCAGCAACCTATGCTTGTCGGTAGACGCGACTTAATGGATTGGCTGTCATCCTCTATAACCTGGTTGTTTGCGTGGGATGTTGCTCATAATATCGCCCACTGGATGGTCTTGTCCAAACTTGGTTATCTATGCGTCCATTATATATAGTATCATATATCCCACTGTAGAGATCACATATCATTCCATTGCATCACGTCCATATACGCATACATGCACACATATTCAGCGGACGGTCGAGTAGTCCAGTGGGTATCGCGTTCGCTCGTCACGCCGAAGGCCCGTGTTTGATTTCCATGGATACAATGTGTGAAACCTTCTCCTGTGTCTGCCGTCCAGATATTGCTGGGATAGTGTTAAAAAAGGCTCACACATATGCATCCAGTTCAGGATAGAGGGACATGTGGGATTTTAGTTTCCCTTTATAACATGGCAAAGTAAAAGTACGTCGATGATAAAAGAGTTTTGAAAAAGTCTTCTTTTCTTCCAGTTCATGATCGACGTGGTGGCAAGGGGTTTGTGTCTGCGAAACAAGATTGTCGAGCCAGACTACAGTCCATTCACACCCAAAAAATCTTGGAACACTGGCAGAGTTGGAGGGGAAGCAAGAGGCCAGTACCCATATACAGACATCCGCTTTGCGCAGGTGCGTCTCCTTGACAACGGCGTGGAGGGCAGCAAAAACCAGACAGAAAATGGCGGTGATGCGGGCAGCTACCAGTCAGCAGACGACACGGGCAGGGCGGGAATGGCATCAGGGCCTCTCTTGGACGAGATTAAAGCTATAAGAGATATCCTCGAAAAAGTGAGAGACAAGAAAGCGAAAATGGAGGAAAAAGAGAAATATGTGCGCGAGTGGAGAGTTATCGCGTGTGTGACGGACAGAATGATCTTCATATTTTATTTGTCCGTCAATATTGTCGGCTTGGGGGTGATATTCCTGGGTCAACTGCAGACTCAAGACCCTGCTATGATGGAGTGAAGTCAACGGTGTTCACCATGTGTCCATCAGTTGGACTAGCGATATATTGCTATAGTAACAAGGGTGCAACTGTGTATATAAGACTACGGCCGCCATTGGTGGCGCGTTGTACATACTGACAAGCCACAAGGACGGACTCAGCATTGACCATGAAGCTTTGATGAACAGTTGCAATTCATGACGTAAGAGCTTTAATCAATGATACTGTATATAGAAGTAAAGGAAAATGGTGTAGGTGAGAATACAGCTGGACGGTTTGAAGTTATTTGACCATGGCCATGGTCGACCGATACTTTGTACAGACTGGAAGAAACATTCCACTACACACTGTTGATTGTTTGAGGGACATCTCCTCCCAGAGACATCGAATACTACGAACAACGCTGTGAATCTTTCCTCTCTCAAGGCACAGACTGCCTGTGCAGGTGTTACTGCTGCTGTCATCCGTGGCTGCAAACGGAGCCGCAACGTGCGCACCGGCTTCACGACGCCACCACCAACCTGCGGCTCACATGACAAATAATTAGCCATTTGATATCGTCATTCAATTTATACCGGCCACAGATAGGTAGCCTGTCAATGCTCGTCAGTCGCTGTAAAATTGTGGATCGTCATTCACTGTTAACCGGTCATTCCTGGCAGATTGTTAGCTATGAAGATGTGTCAATCATCGCAAGCACCTGCCGCGGCAGAGTACAGAGAAATTAATGGTCTCTAACAAGGAAATGCCTTCTGCTGCCTAACTCGCTGTGAATAACATGTTTTCCAAAGTCAGTGGAGCATCCGTCTCCAGGGAAAGATTACCTTAGTATTATGCTAGCGTTCCTCGAGGGAAAGATAAGCGTGGTATTTTGCTAGTATTTCTCCAGGGATAGATAAGAGCGGTGTTACGTTGGCGTTTCTATGCGAAAGATGAGAGCAGCTGTTACGTTTGTGCTTCTCCTGGGAAAGATAAGGGTTGCACTGCATATGTATCATGACAGTAGGCAACAGAAGGCCTTCCCTCGATCTGTATATATGGCAGGTTATGTATTCAGCATTTACACAGGTGTATTTCAACGCGGATGTCATCATGCATTAGCCACACACAAAAACACACATCTTCCGAAAGTATATGTATTAGTCCCTGCACCTTTGGTCAATATACACAACCCTGTACAAATCACGTGACTCTGCTGCTCGTGGACGTATGGATAGCTGAAAGGACCGTATGCTCACACGTGGTTTACATAGCAGTGAGCGTACAGAAGTCCTGCATGCACATGATATTTCTTTTTGTTCAATGGTCTCCGACCGTACTTCCTGTCCTTCCAAACAATTTAACTTTTAAGGTGTGCCACGTGACAAATCATATGTAAGCCGTTTTCTTTCATGTATTTGACTGTGTAGACAGCAGTAGCTATCACATTCCGCGTACCATAGTCCATCATTAGTCCCGCAATAACACAGGAATACCGGTTGTAAGTGTGGGGCATCATTCTGTCTCCTGGCATTTACTCCTGGGAATGTGCAATACTAAGTTACGATATTATTCATTGCCAGTCAAATTATATTCCAAGCATATTAGAACTTCACCCACTGTACAGCATCTTAAAAGTTCAATTTATCAGTTGCACCGCTCTTTCCTGTATGGCGAGGACCTTCTCGGTAGATATTTGACTATGAACATGTACAACTGATGCTGTGATAAACTGTTAAACATTCAACCCACAGTTTTTCGAGGCTTGAGTGCACCATATTTCATCAACGGACATAACTCTATGCAGCGATTTGGACGGCGTATTCCACCAATGTTTTCCAATGTAACCAAATATTTTTGAGGCTCGCCTAGTGGTAGGGCAGAGAGCTGGATTGTTCCCAGCACCTGAAGCACTACCATATCTGTATCTAGTGGAGGGGAACAGGTGCTTGTTGCTGGGCCAGCAGTTGCAGCTGTCTGTATTATAGGGAAGGAAAAGTCCTTGTTGCTGGTCCAGTAGATGCATCTATCTGTATGTAGGGAAGGTAAGGTGTTTGTTGCTGGTCCAGTAGATGCATCTGTCTGTATGTAGGGAAGGAAAAGTGCTTGTTGCTGGTCCATTAGATGCATCTGTCTGCATGTAAGGAAGGACAAGTGATTGTTGCTGGTCCATTAGATGCATCTATCTGTATGTAGGGAAGACAAAGTGCTTGTTGCTGGTCCAGTAGATGCATCTGTCTGTATGTAAGGAAGGACAAGTGATTGTTGCTGGTCCAGTAGATGCATCTATCTGTATGATCTGTGTGTAGGGAAGGCAAGGTGCTTGTTGCTGGTCCAGTAGATGCATATATCTGTATGATCTGTATGTAGGGAAGGCAAGGTGCTTGTTGCTGGTCCAGTAGATGCATCTATATATATGTAAGTAAGGCAAGGTGCTTGTTGCTGGTCCATTAGATGCATCTATCTGTATGTAGGGAAGGCAAGGTGCTTGTTGCTGCTCCAGTAGATGCATCTATCTGTATGTAATGAAGGAAAAGTGCTTGTTGCTGGTCCAGTAGATGCATCTATCTGTATGTAGGGAAGGAAAAGTGCTTGTTGCTGGTCCAGTAGATGCATCTATCTGTATGTAGGGAAGACAAAGTGCGTGTTGCTTGTCCAGTAGATGCATCTATCTGTATGTAGGAAAGGCAAGGTGCTTGTTGCTGGTCCAGTAGATGCATCTATCTGTATATAGGGAAGGACAAGTGCTTGTTGCTGGTCCATTAGATGCATCTGTCTGTATGTAAGGAAGGACAAGTGTTTGTTGCTGGTCCAGTAGATGCATCTATCTGTATGTGCGGAAGAAAAAGTGCTTGTTGCTGGTCCAGTAGATGCATCTATATGTATGTAAGGAAGGACAAGTCCTTGTCGCTGGCCCAGTAGATGCATATAGCTGTATGTAAGGAAGGCAAGGTGCTTGTTGCTGGTCCAGTAGATGCATATATCTGTATGTAAGGAAGGCAAGGTGCTTGTTGCTGGTCCAGTAGATGCATCTATCTGTATGTAGGGAAGGTAAGGTGCTTGTTGCTGGTCCAGTAGATGCATCTATCTGTATGTTAGGAAGGGTGACAGGTGTTTATTGCTGGTCCAGCAGTTGCATCGATATGTACTTAGGGAAAGATGATAGGCAATTGTTGCTGGTTCAGAACGTGCATTGATCTGTATGCAAAGAAGGGTGGAGAGCTTGTTGCTGGTCCAGCAGTTTCTGACAATCCATCTAACTACAGAAGTTAGGAGCACGAGGGTGGGAAAGAATTACGTGGTACTGGTCCATGTGTTTCTCCTTCAGAGTCAGGACAGTATGGGTGTATTGGACATTTAACTGTCAGGTACCCTTTTTCACAGACCTTACACGGATATGTACATAACTATGACGTATTGTGGACTTCAGTGGATGTGGATGTTATTGTTTAGTTATCTGTATTCACACAGGAGGTGATTCCGTTTCTAACAGTGACATATACTATATATATGTATCATAACTTTGTTATAGCGACGTTGATTGAATGCTTTATTAGAACGTCTTCACTTTGGCCAGGCAGACATTATTATATTTGTGAACAAACCACTTTCAATTATTTGCAAACACGACTCTTGTCCTGATGATAGTACTATTCACGCCTCCCTTTCCTACTGCCTCAGACGCTACATTATTTCACTTTTGTCCCCGACCTTTTTCCTAACAGCGAGTACTAGCTGTAACTATCGCCATAGCAAGCGTTATCCCACTACCAGATTGACTAATCTAAAACTTTTTCCTTAATTCAATTATATGACTCCCCAAGCCTACCTGTCGTCATGATCTACCATGACTAACGCGACCCGTGGCACAACCCACATCCTTTTCCTCATCTAACAACACCCACCCGACCTCACCCCACCCACCCCCAACACCCCAACACCCCAACACCGCCTCCGGCACCCAGCAGTAACCCCGTTGCCTTTCACCAGTATGAGGCAACCTCCACTCGCCGTTTCGTTACCGGTATCCACTCCGCACCCCACCTCCACTCCCCGACACAATAACTATCCCTTTTCTTCCCAACCACGGCATAAATTCCACTGTCCCCACCCCCTTTCTCAGAACCCACCACCACTCGTCTTCGCATTGCTTCAGTCTGTTAGGAACCTACTGCTTTTGCAATGCGAGGGAAGCTGACTTTATCCAATCCACTCTTGTATCCCCGCCCCAGACCTCCTCTACATGGGGTGTTAAGTTTCAATATACGGAAGTTTTTTAAACAGAAAACCATAATTTCAAACACACAAATAAACTTTGGATTTCTGCAAGAAAATCAATAGCCTCTTCTTGTAATGTGCGTTAAACGTCCGATCATTCCAAGAGGTCGGTCTATCTGTTATGCAGTATTTGTGATATCGATGTACGGTTTGTCTTTGGTGTCTGTTCAATGTCACATGCCGACAGCTCGTTGTAGAAGGCACAATGCCAAACACTCCCGAATCATCTACAATTCCACTTGCAAATGAACTGCAAATCTTTCCTACTGAATTTCAATTACATATTAGTGTCTATACCGATTGAAACTAAACCGGGTCCAGTGTGAGAAAGTTCCTCGTGGTGCTGTTGCCTTCAACAGCAGTAGTTGTTGTCGTATTACAGGGCTGGTGTCGCAGCTAATGTCCATGCTGTAGCCGTGCTCGTGTTGGAAGTGATCACCCTCCATAGCTCCTTGCAGATCTCGTGTGCCCACGCCCAACTTGTATCTGTAGCTCCAGTTGAAGCTGGTTCATTGTTGGGTTTGGTAAGCTGTCAGGTTAGATATAAGTAAAGCTTGCTCCACTTTCATATTTCTACTCCTCTTCCTAACGTCTCGGTAGGAGTCTGTCTGTCCGCCTGTCTGTCGACATGTACGCTTCTGATTCTCGTCTGGCTGGCCGAGTGTGTGGCGAGCAGCCACGTCCTTTGTAGATGTATAAGGCGCCTTTTTCTTCTTTCTTCTCGGTAGCTCAATGTAAGAAAACAGCACTCACGTCATTCACCTTTGACCCTTATTCAGTGGCACACAGGCATTTAACCCCCACACAGTGGCACACTAAAACATAGGGCATTGACACAAGATCAATCTCCCCTACCCCCACTAAACAACTAAACTCCACACAAAAAACCACCCAGCTCCCCCAACACATACACACACGCACACGCACGCACGCACGTACGTACGTACACACTAACACTAACACACACACAGACACACACACTAACGCACTAACACACAGACACACTAAAACACACACACTAACACCAACACTAACACACTAACACTAACACTAACACGAACACTAACACACTACCATCTCTGAGCCGTACATGACTAGACACAATAACCTCCGACCCGGAAATGGTCCTATGCATTGAACCTTGACCCCTACAAGGTGACACGGGCAGACATGGCGTCACACCAACAGCTCTCGGCACAGCAGTATGCAGTGTAAGGAATGTTCAGATTAATGCGTGTTAGCGTCTGGCGATGTTTGGATCTGTATGTCTGTGATTCGAAGTGGATGTCTGTTTTGTTTCTGGAAGCTGACAATATTTGTGATGTGTGATTTATATTGAATAACCCTTCAACAGAGGATTTGTGCAGGTCTTCTTGTAGACAAGGGTCCATGCAGTGGAGGAGGAGGCACCTTCAGTTAAATTATTTTGCGAATATCAGTATTTGTAATAATGTTTACATTTCGATTATCTTCATGATTTTTAACGTTAGTAGACAGTTATAAGATGAGTCGCCACAAAGCAAAACTATATAAGGTATGATGCGTGCACTGTATTTGATATCAGTTTTTGAAGCGACCAATTACCACAAGGCAAAGTTAGACTGCGATAGAAATACAGAGATTAGTATTTTCCTCCATCGTAGATAGCATTATTTGTTTCTGCTTTGGGAAATTATCAGTATGTCCTCTCTATGGAGCAGATGACCTGGTGTGACCGTAGAAGACCCAAGTGATGTATGTTTTTTCCTGGAACAGATTGGCGACAGATCATGGTCGTCTGATGTGTCTGTGTGTAGAGCCGATTGTCAGTTGTGTGAATACACGAACCTAACGTGTGTGTGTGTGTGTGTGGGGGGGGGGGGGGGGGGGGGGGCAGACTGTCTGTTGTGCGAATGAAGGGACCTAACTGATGTGTGTGTAGGACAGACGTTCTGTTGTGAGATTAAACTGACCTAACTGATGTGTGTGTAAGGCAGACTGTCTCTTGTGAGATTAAACGGACCTAACTGATGTGTGTGTGTGTAAGGCAGACTGTCTCGTGTGAGATTAAACGGTCCTGTCGGATGTGTGTGTAGAGCAGACTGTCTGTTGTGAGATTAAACGGACCTATCGGATGTGTGTGTAGAGCAGACTGTCTGTTGTGAGAATGAAACAACCCGAATGATGTGTTTACGTGTAAGGCAGAATAAACGGTGTGTGAATAAACGGAACCGACTGATGTTTGTCCTTTGTAGAGCAGACTGGTATGAGAGTAAACGAACATGACTGACATGTGTCTGTAGGTAGGGCAGATCGTCTTGTGCGTCAAACATATTTAAAGAGTGAGCGCAAGAACTGAAATGTGTCCTAGAATCTTGTAGAAACGTGTAGCATCCATTCGACATATAGTGGTTAGAAAACTTAAATGTAAGCTGAAATGTGACTCTGAGATAAACCTGTAGGCGTTATAAAGCATTGTAGGACTTGGGTGTTCTCGCATGCAATAACACCCGGTAAACGACATTCGTGTCGCTAGCCCCCTCTTTATGAGTGTGTGTGTGTTTTAATGTTTGTCCAATTTCATGTTACAAATTGAGTGTGAAAAGAGTGATGTCCCCTTGGTGCAGGCAGCCATGTACTGTCGCGAACGTGTCCACCACACCCCTACAGATACCCACTGTCCAGCCCCTCCACACAATGACACCCACGGCTCTCTACCCTTGAGATTGTTCTTCCACCCCACGCCCAACACAAGCCACCCTTGCCACGAGTGGGTCCACCTAACGTCCACCCCACCTACAAAGCTGTCCGCACCCACCTTCGCTCGCCTAGATCAACGCCACTCCAACATGTCGTTGACAGTCCAGTGCTCAAATGTGTGCCATTAATACAATTTCATTTTGCACGTTTCAATATCAATATGTAGTTAAATGCAAAAGTTCGGAACAATTCGGGAAAACTGAGCGTTTTTTTACTCAACTGTTTATGTCTTGACGTGGTGATGCTATCGTGAACATGTCTAGTCACGTGACCTCTCGTCTATTTCGCCAACATTGTCGTATATGCCTGTGAAAGCCTAACAGAAAATATTCTCCCCGTACTAATATGAGTTATCTCCCCTTTCAACCATGCTTCTAAAGCGGGTGTTGAATAATATGTCAAGGAACATCAGATGATCCCATTTCACTAACACTTTTACTGTGGACTTTTCTACCTTCTTCCCGTGCCATGACATATTGTATATGTTCAGCGGTCCGCGGTGAATCAGTATTCATGTCAGGAACGACACGCAAGGGAGATAACCCATAAGAGTACTAGTACCGTAGCCTACTGCGTGTGATGAAACATCTCGTGCTGGTATCTAGTCACGTGCTAGTATCTAGAGGTTGTGGTCAAGCTGACCACCACATATTGCAGGTCGTCGATATCCACAACGTTATGTTCTTGACTAAATTTACGTATAGTTCCATATATGATTTCCTTATTTGGTAGCACTTGTTTGTTTTTCAGTTTTTGTTATTTGTATCTGTCAGACAAGCGCGTTTAGATTTGTTCTACTTGTTTGTGACTGTATTGAACTGCTACTGTCTTATACATATACAGAAGCCACGAATAAAGCTGTTTTGTCAGATACAGTTTCTCTCTATTATTCCGGGTGTGTGAGTGAGTATTGTTTTACGCCGCTTTAAGCAATATTCCAGCAATATTACGGCGGGGGACACCAAAAATGAGTTTCACACATCGCAATTATTCTGAGCATATAACTTGCCGGGCAAAATAAAGTATATACTTTAAAGTTCACACTTCACTCTGTTGGTTACTTTATGCTAGGCCATGATCCCAATGTGTTTTGTGACGTCATGTGCGCGTCCTCTTGTATTTTATATTTGTTCGTTGTTTAACGCTGCACTCAGCAATATGACGACGGTCTGTGAAGAATCGAGTCTGGACCAGACAATCCAGTGATTGACAACAGGAGCATCGATCCAAGCAATTGGGATACAATGACATGTATCAACCAAGTCAGCGAGTCTGACCACCCGAACCTAGTCACCTCTTACGACAAGCATAGTCGCCTTTTACGGCAAGCATGGGTTGCTGAAGACCTATTCTACCCAAGAACCACGGGTCCGTCCTATTTTGTGAGATGCATTGATATGATGCATGTAATATCGCCTATGACGCCCGTATCACATACATCCCCATCGAATAATCATTTCTTGTTTGTCTCATTTTTAGCTACCATCACATACGGGTGTATACTTTCGTTTGCCCGACAGGATGCTTTAATGAGTGTGAACTGGTCATGTGACCAGTTGAATGTACAAGTTCCAGGGTAGTGAGTGATTTCACTCTGGTTTGAACACTATTTCAGTTTCATCACGACATGTCAGATTAGTGGCTGAGTCAAGCTTGAAGCAAGACTTTTAGTGATGCGGGTTTTCGATGATTTCCACTTTTGAAACCCACGAACACTGGCATGGTAGTGACAAAACTCGAAACATGATCAAGACGAACCGGGATTCAAACCACAATCATAGATTCCTGACACGCCTAAGGGACACAACTCTGCACAGCTAACTGCGGCGCTTAAGACGACAGAGTCCCGTGCTCCCAGATACAGGGAAGTGGGTTAAAAAAGAGTGAGTAAATGAATAAGTGAGTGAGTAAATGATTGAGATCATGATTGAGTGTGTGGGTATGTGAATGAGTGAGTGAGAAAATGAATGAGTGAGTGAGGGACGAAAGGCTTTCTCACATTATGTGCATGTTGGGTATGGATCCCACGAACGAGTAAAGGTAGCCAGCCCACAAGGCTACCAACTGACCGACCGCCTCCGTGGTCTAGTGGTAGAGCGTGCGCCCGGAGAGCGGAAGGTCCGGGGTTTGATCCCCGGCCGCGTCATGCCAAAAGACGTTAAAAGATGGTACTTTTTGTTACCCTGTCTGGTGCTCGGTATTAAGGGGCTAAAACAAGGATTGGTCGGCACGGAGTCAGTATACTGTGTCTGAGAAGGGTATTCATGTTAAACTGCGGCATGGTATCCCAGTGGGCTAGCACTATATATCGGCATCAGTCCGGACTAGTACAAGCAGCCACACACACACACGTGCATGCACGTCGCTATGTAAGTGCAATAATCTTGGACGCGACGTTAAACCCAATTTCACCTCACCTCAACAACTGACCTTGCTTGAGATGTTTGGCCTCTCCATTAAAGACGGAAGGTAATAGTTACTGAGTGAGTTGTGTGTAACGCTGTCCGAACAGTATTCAGTTACGTAACGGTATATCAGTCTGATGTTGGGAGGTAGGCACGAACATATACGTCTTCAGAGATTTGGTGAAAAGTTTGGCAATATTTGACGAATAAAATAACAAAAAATATCAATAATATGTGTGATTAATGCATTGTCGTGCATTGTCTCCGTCATGGGAAATTGAGTCCGTCGTTCCAGTCAGGGCTCACTGTGTCCATCCGTCGTTTCAGTCAGGGCTCACTGTGTCCGTCCGTCGTTCCAGTCAGGGCTCCCTGTATCCGTCAGTCGTTTCAGTCAGGGCTCACTGTGTCCATCCGTCGTTTCAGTCAGGGCTCCCTGTATCCGTCCGTCGTTCCAGTCAGGGCTCACTGTGTCCGTCGTTCCAGTCAGGGCTCACTGTGTCCGTCCGTCTTTCCAATCATGGCTCACTGTGTCCGTCAGTCGTTCCAGTCAGGGCTCACTGTGTCCATCCGTCGTTCCAATCATGGCTCACTGTGTCCGTCAGTCGTTCCAGTCAGGGCTCACTGTGTCCATCCTTCGATCCAGTCAGGGCTCACTGTGTTCGTCAGTCGTTCCAGTCAGGGCTCACTGTGTCCATCCTTCGATCCAGTCAGGGCTCACTGTGTTCGTCAGTCGTTCCAGTCAGGGCTATCCTGTTACCGTCCGTCGTTCCAGTCAGGGCTCACTGTTTCCGTCCGTCGCTCAAGACAGGGCTCACTGTGTCCGTCTTTCCAGTCAGGGCTCACTGTGTCCATCCGTCGTTCCAGTCAGGGCTCACTGTTACGGTCCGTCGTTCCAGTCAGGGCTCACTGTGTCCGTCGTTCCAGTCAGGGCTCACTGTTACGGTCCGTCGTTCCAGTCAGGGCTCCCTGTGTCCATCCGTCGTTCCAGTCAGGGCTCACTGTGTCCGTCGTTCCAGTCAGGGCTCCCTGTGTCCGTCCGTCGTTTCAGTCAGGGCTCACTGTGTCCGTCCGTCGTTTCAGTCAGGGCTCACTGTGTCCGTCGTTCCAGTTAGGGCTCCCTGTGTCCGTCCGTCGTTTCAGTCAGGGCTCACTGTGTCCGTCGTTTCAGTCTGGGCTCCCTGTGTCCGTCCGTCGTTTCAGTCAGGGCCCACTGTGTCCGTCCGTCGTTTCAGTCAGGGCTCACTGTGTCCGTCGTTCCAGTTAGGGCTCCCTGTGTCCGTCCGTCGTTTCAGTCAGGGCTCACTGTGTCCGTCGTTTCAGTCAGGGCTCACTGTGTACATCCGTCGTTTCAGTCAGGGCTTACTGTGTCCATCCGTCGATCCAGTCAGGGCTCACTGTGTCCATCCTTCGATCCAGTCAGGGCTCACTGTGTCCGTCAGTCGTTCCAGTCAGGGCTCACTGTGTCCATCCGTCGTTCCAGTCAGGGCTCACTGTGTCCGTCCGTCGTTTCAGTCAGGGCTCACTGTGTCCGTCGTTCCAGTCAGGGCTCCCTGTGTCCGTCCGTCGTTTCAGTCAGGGCTCACTGTGTCCGTCGTTCCAGTCAGGGCTCACTGTGTCCATCCTTCGATCCAGTCAGGGCTCACTGTGTCCGTCAGTCGTTCCAGTCAGGGCTCACTGTGTCCATCCTTCGATCCAGTCAGGGCTCAC